ATGGTTTAATATTTTAAAGTTATATAAGCTAAATAAAATATTCCTCTATAAAAGATTGATAAGAGGAAATAATTAGTTTTGAAATATTTATATTTGTAATTATGTAATTAATTCAGATAGAAACTGTTTGGATTTTTGTTTATTCTAAAGAAGAAAATAAATGCTCAGAGTCTTTCTATTCCTTCAGGGTCTTCTCAGATACTTAATTGCATTGAGAAATTAATTCATGCAAGATAGGTTGCTTATTTATTAGCCGCTCAAAATGTTCATATTTGCTTACACAGACACTTTGGACATGAGATACTATTAAAGCAAGAACAGAGATTGATTTTTGGTGCCGACTTGTTTTATGTTTCAACCAAAAATAAAAAGCAAAAACACATATTTCACTGTCACTTGTTGTGGAACTTTTGATCTAATTCTGATCTTCAGAAATCATGGCTACCATAATCAAAATATTAACCATCCACAAAAATGGAAAGGTTCTTTTAGTTAGTAAAGAAAAGTAGCCAAAACAACATACTCTCCGTAACAGAAGAAACCTGATCAAGTTCAGAGCAGTCTCTGAGGGTTCCATTTAAAAAAAAATAAAAATCGTTATAGGAGATCTTTAATCAAGAAATTCAAGAAAGAATTAAGATGCTCATTAGCCAAGGAGTAGAATTTTCTCTATGTGTGAATATTTGAAAAAGTCATTTTAGAGGAGTAAACATTAAATAAGAATAAACATTTTCAGCATATTTTTGTAGATTCATATCCTTCTTAAACTTGCCCCGGTGTTTCTAACATTAAATATAATTTTTACAGGAACTGCTCAGTTTACAAACATTTGTTTAAGGGTGGTTCAGAGTTAAGAGGCATTGAAAAAAAAAGACAGTCTGCTCAAAGTTATGACTGTCACACCACCTCTATGGTCACGTGATTATGATTTGGTCACTTGGCAACCAGCACATACATCTACAATGATTGCAACATCCTGTGATCCTGTAATTGCAATTTGCAACTTTCCCAATCTACTTCCAACAAGCAAACTCAATGGAGAAATCACAGATGGTTGCAATTCGTGCTCATGTGAACTATTGCTTAATGACTAGGGCAAAAAAAGGTAAAGTTGGGTGTACAGTCATGTGATGTCTCACTTAACAACTGTGCTGCTTAACAACAAATGTTCTGGTCCCAGTTGTGATCATAAGTAAAAGATTACCTATTCTGTTGTACTTAGATTTCTTTACATTTGGAGTTTAGTTGATTTTTAACCTCTGAGGGAAACCCAGTAGCTATCATTTCATTTTCATTTCATTTTATTAGATTTCTATACCGCCCTACTCCCGAAGGACTCAGGGCGGTGCACAGCCAAACAATAAAAACACATACAATACAAAATTTAAAAAATAGAATAAAATCAAATTAAATAATTTTGGCCCCGACAAATTTAAAATCAGAATAGTGATAGTGGTGACACTATTCTGATAGCTATCAGAATAGTGTCACCAGTGTAGCAAAGGTCATTGATGTTTATTCTTACAATTTTAAAATTCATGTCTATTTTTACCCAATCCAGCTTCCTCAGAATATATTTAGCATATAGAATGAGTAAATGAGGAGAATATATAGTTTTGTTTCACTCCTTCCCTGATCTGGAAACTATTTTATTATTATTTTGACCATTTTCCATTCAGACTGGCTCTTATCCTGTGCATGCGTTTTGCATGAGGATAATAAAACGTTTTGGCATTCCCAGTTTCCTAAGGACATTCCACAGCCTGACATGCTCATTACAATCAAAGGCCTTTCTATAGTCAATGAAGCACGTAATTACTTCTTTTTAGTTTTCTTTGTCTTACTCAGTTATCCAGGATGCATCAGAAATAATTTCTTACTCCTCAGCTGTTATTAAAACCAACTTGACTTGCTGGCAGCTCCTTTTCTATGCAGGGCTCTAATCTGCATTGGATGATTCTAAGTTTTATTTTGCTATCCTATGAAATTAATGACATTATGAGATGCCTTGCCCACTATTAACTCTCCCTTCTGTAGTATTGGTATATTGACATCTGGTTTGTTTGCCATTGTGTTGTTCTCCAGGTATGTTGGCATAGTTTGTTTAGACGTGTTACTGATTCTTAAGTTGCTTACCCTATTTCTATACTATAGATACTGCATCAATCCCTGTAACCTTTTGATTAGAATATTGACATCTTTACTGTATAGAATTTCAATACACACCTTACATCTTTGATCTTTCAATCAGTTATTATCTGTCCTTTAGTGTCCTTTAGCATACAAAATTGAGGTTGGAACCACCTTTTGAATTAGATGATCTTTTGGAAAACATTCCTTCTTTTTTTTATGTTTGTTTCACTCTTTATAGATATTGATCTAAGCAACAGAACCATGAGTTCTAATCTCTATTAGGCATTAAAACTGGCTGAGTGATTTTGAGCTAGTCACCATCTCATACATCAGCCCCCTCATAAGAGTGTTGTGGGGAAATATGTTATTGTTCATCTAGATAGGTGTTATTTTGCTTATTTGAATTGAAGACTGTTAGCAATGAATAAGTAATTGGATTTGCAGAAAGTGGTTTTTTATTGTCGACCTTCCCTTTTTCTGTATCACTCTCAAAGAGTTGTTCATTCAGTGATATTAAATCATTTATTAAATGTACCCAAATATAGTCTTTGCTTTATCCCTCCTGTTTATGAAAGAAACACCACTTCTTTGTTTTTCATAAGCTGCAAAGATAGAATTACAGTGGGATTTTCTTTTCCTGCATAGTAGCATCTGCAACTAGACATTTCAAAAGCTTTAATTTAGCCACATCATAAACAACAGTAGTAATATGAAAGATCCTCTTATCTTCATCAATAATAGCATGCTGAGTGCCATCTGACTTCAGGGGCCCATCACTCAACACTTATATCAACCACTTTGTCTTGTCTGCCCATGAGATTTTCTTGGTAAAATACAGGAATGGTTTATTCTCGCTTTCTCCAATGCAGTATGAAATGAGGCCTTTACGAGCAATCATCTGCCTCCAGAATCTCTCTATATCACTGTTCTGTCCAATATAACTGCCTGCTTGCTTTAGCTAGGCAGCTGAATGACTTGTGCTTTGGGAGACTCTGCTGGGAGTATATACTTTAGGCATACATCCCTGGTGTACTTTGGTCATCCCACTGGGGAATAGGCTCACCCCCATCAGAACATGACACCATAGCAGGACTGGGGGACGGGGTATTTCTCATGATTAATATTAAAGAAAAAATATTTGTGTCTTTCCATTTGGCAAATCAGATTGTCCATTCCCCTGATAAAAATTATTACCTTCTATGTTTGTTCCAAGAATTCAAAAATGAGGGGGAAAGGATATCAATATGCAGTAATACCTCTTTGAGGGAATGGACAGTACAGAAATGTGATAGATGATAGATAGATAGATAGATAGATAGATAGATAGATAGATAGATAGATAGACAGACAGACAGACAGACAGACAGACAGACAGACAGACAGACTGACTGACTGACTGACTGACTGACTGACTGACTGACCAGAAACCAGTAATTAACCTACATGGAGGTAATTCTTATCAAAGAGGAGGGGAAGGAGACGTTGGATTAAATTTTTTTGCAATTTTTCATCAGTAAAATCAGGCAGGCCACTTCTGTCTGACTTTGGATAGTCACATTTTATAGGTAGGAATTTCCAAGGAGATTGATTTTACAGTGATAGAATTAGCAGTGGGCAGAATCTGTAGTCCCATTTTTTTCAAATCAGACTGGTTGCTTAAGACCCATTTGAAGTTATGATGGCCTCAGCAAGAGTTTTTACAGCCTCTAAAGTACTTCCAGCTATTGTAAAATTTGCCAAATTCCCTCACAGTCATGTGATCACACTCTGTGTGCTTGGCAACCTATGACAAGTTGTCAGTTGCCCCACATTTAATCATATAATTATCATTTGCAATATTTTCTTCCCAAAAAGTCAATGGGAGCATGGTAGGGAAGAATGCAAGAGCTGCCTCCTGTCACAGAGCTAAATTCCCCCCTTCCCCACAACTCTTTGCAAATGAAAGGACTGCCTGTTTGGAGGAAATCTCAACTCTATGCATAGAGGAGATCCCAAAGATCTGAGGTCTGCTTCTGCAGCCTACCAGAGGAGTTCCCTTTAATGCACAGAGGGGGTGGGAACTCCTTCAGTGGGTTGCAGAAAAAGAAATCTGATCCCAAAGCTTTCTGACAGGCTTCAGGAATGGAGCTGGGAACTTAAGGATCTATGTGAGCCCATTTCTCCTCTCCCCTGGAAGAGCTCATCTCCATTCCAGGCTGCAGGAAGAGCTTCATTGGATGAACTTGAACTTTTCTAGTGGCATGAAAAAAAAAGCTCAGATACCAGTTCTGTTCCTATAGTTCTGCAGAGCAGTTCCCTTCCATGGATGGAGGGGAGTTGAACTCCATAGGCAGTTACTTCACTCCATCCACTTCAGGAAATTGCTTAATGGCTACAGTTGGAAGGGTTAGGATTGCAGTAGTTGAGTGAAGCAGTCAGGTGACCAAGGGACTACCTGTATTCTGAAAATTGACAGGCAAAACAGAAAGTTGCTTCTGCTGAATAATGGTGAGTGGGAAGGGGTTGAAGTTCTGTAGGATGTGTGCTTTGCAAGCCTGAGAATCAAAGCTTTATCCTTGTGGTTTATAAACCCAAAACCAGTTCGTTCCCAAGACTATTTGAAAATGCAAAAGCAAGTTTATATAAAATCTCAGAGACTGTTTATGGTGAGCAAAAGACATTCAGTGCATTTAGAGATGGTTCCTAATTGCAGCCCATCAGTACTTTCAGCTCAAAAAGCAAAAATTTATTTTAAATATATCAGTTTCTAATTACTTTGCTGATTAAATACAATGTTCCATAGAGATGGCAGTTAATACATCATTGTTCCAGATTTTTAATTTTGTTAATTTTGTTAATGTAACACACAGTATATTTTTCTCCTACAGAGATTAGCAGAGTACGGAAAGACATGTATAATGACACATTAAATGGTAGTACGGAGAAGAGAAGTGCGGAGTTACCTGATGCTGTGGGACCTATTGTACAGCTACAAGAAAAACTATATGTGCCTGTAAAAGAATATCCAGATGTAAGTACCTTGTAGTCAGTTATTTTTTTTTCTTCTGGTTCATGTGATACCTTTGTAGTGTATTTTCTCATGTGACCTCTGTTGTACAAATGTTGTGGGCCCAAGAATGCTGTTGAGAGGTAAGCCTGTATTTGCTATTTATAGCTTCATAGCAAGTGTGATGTTGCTGTTTTTTAAAGTGGTAAAGTTTGCAAACATTTTACATCTATCCATAATCCTGCAGTATTACTACCTTCAGTGTGATCTAAACTTACAAAAAGACCTGTTAACAGATAGAAATTCCCATTAAATAGCCCACAGCATACTATGTCTCAGTGATAAGATTTCAGGCTGAATGATCATGGTCTAGGTTTTTTTGTTTTGTTTTGTTCCGGTATTTCTCCAGAAGTTGTGGCTGTCATTTTCAGAGGCAGAATGGGCTGCTTTGTGGCATATTTCTCAGCAGTTTACAGGTACCTGAAATGGATTGATTGGCCTCTTGTATTTGAATTTGGCTGATCTGTAACTGATCCATGTTACAGGACTCCAAGAAAGCTACTTCCTGATTGGATCATTATCCAATTGGCCCATTTTGAAGTTCAAAGACCAATGAAAATACAGTTTCTTCTATTTAGCTGTTCTGCTCTAAATACTGTATAATAGTGCACTGGTACACACATCATTCTTGCTCATTTTTGTTATGGTAGACTCATTTGTTGTTACTGTATGTTCACTTAAAATAAAACACAGCAAAAAATGCAACATAGCCTGCAGCTCCTTTACAAAATATTTTATGCCTTATTCTTGGTGTGACTTTCCATGATCAATAACAGTGGTGTTACATTTTCTCTAGTTGTGTACTCTCTGCCTGACTGAGGCATGATAAGAGTCTTTCACAATGGTTTAGTTGCCTTTTCCAGTCTCATAAACAACAATTTTCCAGAGCATAAACAAGATTTTTTTCTGAATTATCCTAAGAGCTCTTGTGATCAAGCATAGTCAGTTCTACAAACTAGGGTCATGAAAAGTAGACTTCCGTTAATCACATCAATACATACGTGTCCTTCTTCTCAAACTGACATATTGTCATCTCATAGGAACATCTATCTCAACTTACTCTTTTAAGAGAGCTAATTATTATAGTCTTCACATACTTTTCCAAAAATGACAGTGAACATTTCTGAAGTATATTCAGGGGAAAATTGCACAAAATAGACTATTTTGGCATGGTTCAATTAGAAGAAATATCATCTTGGACTTAAATAAAGCTCTTAATGTATTAAAGAACTTATTGCATTACTGCAGGATTTGGGGTATAGAATTCTAAAAGGTTCATGAACTTGCTTTCACCATGGCATAAGAACAAGAATGGCCTAGCCTGCTAGGTAAATGACATTTGATAACAGAATAACAGTGTTGAAAGGGACCTTGGAGGTCTTCTAATCTAACCCCCTGCTCAAGCAGGAGACCCCATACAATTTCAGACAAATGGCTATCTAATCCCTTTTTAAAAGCCTCCAGTGATGGAGCACCCACAACTTCTGAAGGGAAGCTGTTCCACTGGTTGATTGTTCTCACTGACCTTCGTTCTAAATTCCTTATTCTTTGATTAGTTTCTAACTATTGCTTCTTGTATTGATATAATATAGTGAGCATATACAAACTTCATAGTTTGATTTCTTTAAAAACGTGTATTGTACAGCATTCCTGACTTAGATAGATAGATAGATAGATAGATAGCTTTTTTCAGTAATGCCATAGTTTAATTAAAAAATGGCTCAGATTAAATTATATTCCTTCGTTAATATGATTCATATTTATAGAATTATAATACATTGTTAATATATTTCAATTTGATTGAGTATCCAGATGATGCTTTGTTAACATGTCAAATACTAATGTAGGCAGGGTTTTTTTTAAAGGAACACATATAGTAATAGTATATAGAAATATCTAGAAGTTGGTCCAGGCTTTCTGATACCCACATTGTCTTTGGGTTGTCTGAAATAGGAGAGTAGTTACATAATTTTTCTAATATACTCTGTATTTTCTGTCATGGGAGAAGAAAGTATTGTTTTGGGGGGTAGGTATATCCTCATTAATCATTTGGTTGAATTTTGGGTGTTTTTTTTTTAAAGAAACCTGCTTTACTCTTTGTAACATAAAAACAACATTTAAATTGCTGGATGTGCAATTGAAGACCTTATGGAAGTACATTCTGCAAAATATGTTTAAAATAGTGCTGTATATGTGGTCTGTGATCTTAAGATAGTGACACATTCTAGAAAGTTGTGAGAGAGTGGAAATCTGGCTTTTTGTTACTAAAACTAAAACTAGCTGAAACTATTAAGTAGGATGACTTTTCTTCAGAGAGTGTATTGAATATTTTTATTTTTGTTATTTCACTTTAATTTTGTTTTAGATACCGTAGTTCATAAGGGAAATTAAAGTGTTGTTAATGGGATTTTGCCTTGGAGCAGGTGACAATGATCAGTGTCTCTTCCAAATAATGTATTTCTGACAGTTGTCAGCGTTGTCACCAAGTAGGTGATAAAGCACTGGAAGCCTTGGACAAAGCTGACTTAAGGTATTCTCTGGGGATCCATTCAACATTAGATTGACTCATTATTAAAAGAGAGCTGATCAAGCATGATAAAAGTTCTGCTTATGTGTTTTCTCAGTTAATAGAACGATCAGCAAATGAATTCTTTGTTGGAAATGCTTAGCTTAGCTCCTTTATGGAAATGCTTATGTGAACTATCAACTATTTGAGATTGGTCATGCTAACCTGTTGTACTCTATAATTCTAAATGTTGCTGCAGAATATATAAAAAACAGGTTTTTGTAGCTAATTTACCATGCTGTGAGTTGCATATGTATTTTCTAGTTAAGAAATGTAACAAGTAAAATAACTTTAAAAAATCTTGCCGTCTTCATGAATTTGAGATTAAAAAGTATCAGCAATTGAAATAAAACCTCAATGGATAATCTGAAAAAAAGAAATTGTGTTAGATAAAATCCTTTTATAGAAGCTCCATAGATCAAGCATTCTCAGTTATACTTTGTGGCAGGTGTGGATTGTTTGTATGTTTGTGTTCACATTTGGAAAATTTTCTTCTCTTTATTTTGCTTGTAGTTATGTGTGAAGGGGCGTTGGTCCTACCTGAGACGCACCTTCTTGTTGGGTGGAGACAGCAGCCAGACGTGGGTTCTACTTTTGTGTTCAGATGAAGGACTGAGCCTGTCAATCAAGCTAAATCCCGCCCCTGTTGCTAGGGGCTCCCAGCTTTTGCGAAGGAGGAAGACAGGCTCGGCGTGTGGAAAAAAAGGAGAAGAAATTTAGAGACCAGTCTGCCGAAGGGTGGGGCTGGCTGCTGTCTCCACCTAACGAGAAGGTGCGTCTCAGGTAGGACCAACGCCCCTTCTCCATTGTGGGTGGAGACAGCAGCCAGACGTGGGACATACCAAAGTTCAGTGTCCCAATTCCTGGGCGGGAGCAGTCTGGGCAGAAGACTTCCCCACCACATGTACTCTTTGCAATACTCTCCTTCCAAAGGCAGCCGCCGCAGAGGCAAATTTATCTAGCTTATAGTGACTAATGAAGGGGGAAGGAGAAGTCCAGGTAGCCGCCCTGCATATCTCTAGCAATGAAGCCTGTGTAGCCCAAGCAGTGGAAGTCGCCGCGCTCCGCATAGAATGGGCTGTTACGTTGTTCAGTGGAGGCAAGGCACGAAGTTCGTAGGCCTTAGAAATCGTTTGATGGAGCCAGCGATCAATCGTCGAAGTCACCCTGTGTCCTAAAGATACCAGAAGAAAGGAAACAAAGCTTTCGTTAGACGGATACCCGCCGTCTGCTTGAGGTAAATGCGCAGGGCCCTCCGGACATCCAGCTTGTGCCACCGCCGTTCCAAAGGGTGAGAGGGACGAGGACAGAAATCTGGAAGAACAAGTTCCTGTAAACGGTGAAAGGGAGAGTTAATTTTTGGCACAAATGTAGGATCTAGTCTGAGGACCACCCAGTCCACATGAAATACACAAAAGTCGGTTCTCATAGACAGAGCCGCGATCTCAGAAATTCGGCGAGCCGAAGTTATAGCAATAAGAAAAGCCACTTTGCATGACATGAGCCGTAGGCTGGTAGACCTCAAAGGTTCATAAGGAGGATCCGTGAGGGAGTTCAACACTAATGAAAGGTCCCAGGTTGTGTACCTATGTAGCACTGGGGGGCATAAGTTGGTCACCCCACGGAGGAACCTGTGTATCAGAGGCTAGTGAGATAAGGAGGTTAGGGAGTCATAAGTCAGGAGTGATGAAAGCTGCCACCTGTCTCCAGAGAGTCTTGGGCGAGAGCCCTTTGTCCAAACCGTCTTGCAAGAACCACAAGACCTGTACAACTGAAGCCTGGAGAGGCGAGAAGCCCTGGGGCTCACACCAAGTACAAAAGGCCTGCCAGGTGGCCGAATAAATACGGTCTGTGGAGGGTCTCAGAGAAGCCTGGATAGTCTGTATCACAGAGGCTGGTACGTTGTCCCGCTGCAGAGCTTGCCACTCAACCGCCAAGCTGTCATTTGTAGCCACTGGGGCTCCGGGTGCAAAATTGTCCCCTGGCTGAGACAGTCACTGGTGCAAGGGATTCTCCAGGGAGGAGACACCAACAAATTAATGAGGTCCGCGAACCATAATCTCCTCGGCCAGTGAGGAGCCGGAAGTACAATTTCCGCCTGCTCGAGTAAAAGTTTGCGGAGCACCCTCGGGATGAGGGGAATTGAGGGAAATGCATAAAGCAGACCCTGAGGCCATGTGGAGTGCAGGGCATCCACTGATTCAGCTTGAGGCGACTGGAACTGGGAGAAGAAGCGCGGGAGTTGCGCATTCTGCGGGGAGGCGAACAGGTCGACCACTAGTGCGCCAAACCGGGCCACTAGGTCCTGGAACAGTGGAGGATGCAGATGCCATTCCGAGTGATCTATTAATTGTCAGCCAATCTGTCCTCACGTTAGTCACTCCTGAAATATGCTCCG